TGCTTAAACTAACAGTTATAAACAATAAATGGCTACATTAGATAAGTAGTATTTTCACTTCCCGGGGGTAAGTGTTGTAATCGAATCCATCGGGCGACTTATTAGTTTCACATTTTCTTAACGTTTCATGATCCGTAGAATACGAAAAAAGTGGTTTCCCATTTCCGTCTGTCTGTCGTCTGTCGGTTTGTTTGTCTGTCTGTCGATCGTCTGTATCAATTTTTATTAGATAATCTCCGAAAGTACTGCACCGATTGTTATCAAATTTTGTATGAATATTGTAAGTAATAATAATAATAATATTAATAATAGTTTATTTCTCTACAGGTTTACAGATTTACAGAAAAATAAATACTATTTAAAGTTAAGGAAGACGATGTGAAATTAAAGAAAATATTATAAATACTAATAAATTAAACTAATTCTAAATGTTTAATGACATAACAAGAAATCTCTTTAAATGGTGGAATATGAAAATCACATTCATAAAGTGCTTGGTTAAAATGTTTGCACAAAACACTTACTGGGGAATTATTTGATATATTTGTCCGATTTATTTTGGGGTAAAATATAATATGTTGGCTGGAGTTATGCCTAGGCACTGCAAAGTTTAATTTCAACAACAGCAGAGGACAATCAATGGTGTTGTTAACTAACTTTAACAAGAAATGAAGGATTAAAATAATTTTAGTTGACAATAAATTTACATTAAATTTTCTTAATAATGCATCGTGGTGATAGCGTCTTTCAAAATATTTGACGTAAAGAAGAAAACTTACAAATTTTAAAAGTTTTTGTTGCACTGATTCAATATTTAAGTTTAGTGAAATCTCTACAATTTCTATATATTAAACCATAATTTACAAAATGCTTTAATACTACCTTTAATACTACACTACATACACGAATTTATGTAAAATTTGCAGATTGTGTTGTAATAGTAGACAATCATTTAATCTGTTGGTCCTGTAGAATATTTCAAATATATAACAATATTTTTTCACTGAAGCTGGTATCTGGTAAACGATTAATAAACAGCAGGAAAAGCAACGGCCCCAAATTGGAGCCTTGCGGTACTGAATTAGGAGTAAAAGTTTCAGAGCCATAATTTCTATATCTGACAAAATTTGTTCTGCCCGGAAGATATTATTTTAACAAAAGTAGTAGTGATTCCCAAAATCCAATTAATTTTAGTTTATCTAATAATATAAAATGTACTATTCTATCAAATGCTTTAGAAAAATCAGTAAAAAATGCGTGTAGCTAGCTAAATTGGTAATGGTGCAGCGTTTTTCTGCAAAACCATGTTGACATGGAGATATTGAGTGTAGAAAATCTTTGTTTATATACATATACACATCTATTATATGATTGTTTCAAATACTTTTGCGAAATTGCATAGTAATGCTATTGGATGATATTGCTCGATCTTTGTTGGATTATGTTTTTTAAATAAAGGTGCGATACATGCTCTTTCTGAATATGGAATGTAGTGGTTTTACAAATATGATAGCACAGTCTTTTAAGAGAAAATTCGGATTTCCATCTGGACCTGATGTTAAATTATTTTTACTTCTTTAAAATATTTGGTTCATCACGTATGTGATTTATATTAATTAAATAATTCGATATAATTTTTATCATCTGTGTATATTTACTATTGAAATTTGAGCTTATATATGTATGTACAGCAAAAGTAATCGCAAAAAGCATTTACTATAGAGGTAGTAGTTGATACTTATTGTAGCTTAGTCCACGTAGTATTCTAGTTTTGCCTTTTTTGTTTTGCACAGAAAACAAAATTTTTTCCCTACCGACACAGTTTTCTACATCTAAAATATAATTTTTGTAAAACAATCAGGGTTTTGCACATTGTACGATACGGTTTAAATATTCGTAGCCATGTTCAGAGGGATAATTTTAGTACCTTTTATGAGCAAGAGATATTCATTTCAGATATTGTTTAAGTTCATTACTGTACCAGATGGGGTAAGCAGCATTTCTGGATGAATATTTGCGAAATTCTGGTACTGTAATGATATCATTCACTGTATTGTAGAAAGCATTGCAGGCTCTTGTTAAAGAGGCCCAGTCAACATTTGATAACAAGTGATAAGTGGGAAGTTAGACTTTTTGAAATTATATTGATCTGTCGAATCGTCAATAGAGAATTCTTTACTGCGATTTGATATAAAGTGTAGTATGATGTAAATCTTCATTGACTAAGAACCGAGTGATTACCGAGTGAGGTAGCGCGAGTAAATCCCTAGCTTAATGAGCCCCCAGGACATGCTGCTCGAAGGTCTTCATCTCGGGATTTTTGGATACGGCCTGGGTATAGTCGGAGATGCCTCGTTTGACGGGGTTGCATTCATGTGCTGAACCTAGCAGCTATGAATGGATCACTTTATGCATTTATTCTGTTTAATTAGAATAATCATCACACTGGATAAAATAATCCAAGTTGAGTTGTTCAGTGATTTCTGAGAGGAATCGAAAATTCACTTTGACATTTCGATTTTCCATGGCAAATCCAAAGACGCAATCTTCGAACTGAGACGGAACGAATCGGACTGAGCGCGAATTTCAAAATACGATTTTTAGAGCTTTTTTACAGTGAATGAGTGCGATGCAACGATTTGAAAAAAATACTTATACACAAATTCTTCACTCAATAGTAGCTTTAAAGTGATCTGGGGAGATCTTATCACATAAAAATCAATTTCCCATGTTAATCCCCTATGTTCAAACATGGATGCGGCACCCTGTATTATTTGGAGTAATGAAGTTAGTTAAAGCTTGAGCCTTACTGGTCGTTTCTAGTTATTTTAACTTCTATGATATCTATAGACGGTACTTCGTTAGTAATAAGTGAAACAGTTCGCATCGCTGCTGTGAAACAAGCAATCGGTAGCTAAAAGACCACCAGCCCCCTTAGTTACACCACCGTCTTCAGCGTTTTTATCTTCGTGATAAACAACATAGTTATCAGGAAAAATTTTACCATTTAAAATATCTTTTAACCAAATCTCCGATATGGCAATAAGATCGGTAAGTATTGGACGTTAAAATAGATTTGAAAAAATGTATAGGCTTTGTGCGTAGACCTTTAACATTTTGATATATACAATTTAGATGACGACTGTTATTAGGTAACTTGTTCAGTTTAAATGAGCAATTTTTGGCACTCCATTGTACTTAGTGGCGTATTTTTACATTATTTTCACCATTTGAAATTCTCACTATTAACTGTTGGCTTACCAATTTATAGTACTCTGTTTAGGCGTGCGACCGAGTGGTAAAGAAACGTATTAAAATTTTAAGTTATAACGTCCTAGACGTTGAATTTTTATTACGTTGGTTTGCAGTGTACTACTTACTAACTGTAGAACCTTATTACGAACCAAACTGTTTTGTTCAGTGCGTTGAGTAGGAGAGTTATTTTGTTCAGAAATGGCAAATATTATGATATTATTTTACCGTCTCTGTCTTTCCATGTCTTCCCGTACAACCTCTTCTACTTGAATAGCCGGTGAGGAGGGTATCACTGAAGTAATTTACATTTTTAGATTGTTGATTTGGGCTTCAAATTCAGCTCGAATTAAATTCAGAGATCTGGTGACTTCACTACGTAAAGAATCTGTTAGCTCTTTCAGATTTTTGAACCTGTTCATATTTGTGTTTATTAGAAGTATTACCTTCGATCTTAATTAACTTAGATTTTGCTCGAGTAAATTTTATATCTCCTCTTGTTAATCCTACACATTGTAGATATGTATAGATTATTATTGTGATATACATCACAATTTATTTTGTAGAGCTAGATCTTATTGCACCGTTACAATTTATACAATTATTCATTTAGGTTTAGGAACTAAAGATAAAGGTGACAAAACTTCGCATTCAATAGCCGATCATGAAGGTCATGGAAATGGTGACAATAAGGAGATGTTTTCTACGTAGTACGTAAAAAGAAACAATGTTTCAATGAAATCCAACATATTTCTAAATTATGACGTTATTACGCAAAGAAATGCAAGTAAACTTAGGGGAGCCAATAGTGCTAACCGGGGCAATCGCAAATATCAAAAATTGACAAAATTTTTTGCAGTGACAGTAAAATGCTAACCAAAATTTGACTAATCATCCCCATCAAGAATTTATTGACGTTCCCGAATTTTCTCTAGGAAACGTCATTTAAATTTTATGCAAAAACATACTCCTATACTTGTGGTTTATGAATCCGCATTGAGTTGTTACCTGAAGCATCAAAAATTTCACAAAAAAATTCAAATTATTTAATAAGCGTCGGTGCACGTGCCGAGGCCGCGGCGTAGGAAGTAGAAGCCCCGACCTCGAGAATTCGAATGCCGAAACGTAATTATGCGTGAACTGTCGCGCGTTCGATTCTTCCTCATGTACCTTTCGTTTTGATTTTTTATACTGTTCCTGCAGTTATCTATATTCTTTTTATGTGTAGAGGTTATCACAAATAAAATGTCGCAAAACCAAACTGTATTTTTCAAAGAAGCAAGTTGGTCGAAATTTACTCAATATTTTTTTTATCCACTAATTAGATTAATTCTTGAAAGATCACTGACTCAGAAACTTAGTCTTCGAAATAAATATTTTTTAAATAAATTCATGTGTATTTTTACCGACTGTGTGATTATAAAAACATTGACCCTAGTGATATTAATGTCATAAAACTTAATTGTGCAAAGTTAAAAATGACAGGAACTGATAGTCATTTGCTTTTATAACAAATGCGATTGCATAATTTATTAATTTTTTCAAGGCTGTTGATCAACTTTGCAAGTTAAACCTTGTTTAGATTTTTCTTAATTTAAAGGATAATTTATACTAGCGTTTCATTACTTGAATTTGTGCTAACAATGAAGGCTAAGTGAAATTATTTTATGCAGTTAATCCAGTTATTACAGTTGTATTTATTGATCCACAAAAGCTTCTTGAGATGAAAAGTGACTCGTCTTTTCTAGAATGGGTTACAATGGGCGTAACTGCGTCCTGAGGGCTTTATGCGAAGCCTCCCGTCATTTGAAACCCAAAGGGGAGAGTCTGGTAGACGAGATCCTTCGAATCGTATTCAGGTCAGTCGTTAGCGATAACTTATAATATTTTATAATGTTGTATTTTAGATATCCGAAGAAGTATAATATGGGGAAAGAAGAGGAAAAACATTATCAGTATTATCGAGCATCACAGAACGGAATCGAATTTAACGGAGAAGAATGTTTCGAAATGTTTCCGGGGTGTCCTTTTTCATTGATTGATCTGGCTCTCGGCTATTATTCCGCTTTCGGATATTATCCTGATACATAAAAACCTCTTTCAGAAACACAATATAAGAAAATTAGCAAATAAAGCTGAGTTGTTTGTATTGATTTAAGATTTTCTTTCGCGATTTACTGGTGAAAGATTGCGTTTGCCTGACCCCGGTATTAATCTGAAATTTGACGTGACATGTTGAAATACATTTATCACTGACGTTGCTGAAAATTGCTTGTTACATTTTTAGACTAGATACCGCTTGAAAATTGATTGTTGGTCAAAACCTGTATATATACTTATTCTCAAAAACACAAGCTCTACCATTATTCTTAATAAAGTTCTAAGTGAATTTTCGTATGAAGTTAAACAAAACTCACTTACGAGTAACGTTTCCTTTAATTTTGTGATATTTTTAAAATAAACAAAGAATCCTCCGTTACTTAACAGTAAAGCGTTATCTTTAACGTATTCAGAACGCTGATTTAACACACTCGGATAATTTGCATAATCGCTTTGCAGTAGCTTTGCGTTCAGCAATGTTGATCGACAAACAATTTAAACTCGTTTTCATGTTTTTTATTTTTCATTGCAATTGGTGGTATGTGAGACCAAATGAAAAAAACCCCTCACTTATTCGAACAAAAAGAACACTGATATGGGAAAAAGGGAGAAGTAGACTACAAGTTTGTATAAAAAAGTTATTTTATTTTTTTCTATAAGTTCGTGTTTTAGATTATCACAGGATTTGGTGTTCCAGTTGATCTTAGTCTAGAAACTGTCATCATAGCAGCTATCATCAAAGGGAATTATGTGTTACCGTCAAATGTGTCGGACCTTAAACCCTTCGGCAATGTTTACTACCAGAAAAGGAAAAAACGAACGCTTTCCAGATGGGATATTTACGAGCTTTTAGCTCAGTTGTGGCAACAGTAAGATTTATTTTTTTTATTTAGGTGAAAATTCATCATTCTGTTTTTTTGGAGGCGTGGATTTGGCGGTAAATCTTGCATATTGAGAACCATTTGTGAGTTATCGCATAGGCCTGTTGATAAGAATTATGGGCTTTTTGATGAATTAGTACATACTGTTTTCACGTAAGTTATACCTACAAGGCTTGAGAAATTAGGGCGATACATTATTGATTGTGTTAATAAAATCGAGATAATTTGACGAAATAAATGTAGATGCAAGCAACTAATTAAAACAAAAGCGACATACAGTTTTAATGTGTCTATTAAATATAGTACAGAGGTTATAGATTTTTTCAATAAATACGGAAAGTATTTTTTAATTAACACAGTTGTTTTTACACGATACTTCAAACTTCCCTGTAATTTTAAAAACATGTTTGATTTACAAGATATTTATATATAAAGTTTATTAAAAAAATATTTTTAGAAACCCTTGTAATCGATAGTACCTAACTGTAGTAATAAAGCTAGTTCTTTTTGTATTTCAAATAATAGCAAAGTTAAACGTATCAGTTCAGCTGTTTTGTAACACTAGCATCGGTTTCTGTTACAGCCCGAGTAGTACTAAAGAAACCGTTCGACAACATAGTGACAACGAATATTTTGCAGCTCAAAATTTAGGAAGAAAGACTGGAGACTCTTGTAAGGCAGAATTTTCAGAATGTAGAATTGATTTAGTAGATATGTTTACAATGTAATACTTGTTAAACTAATAAATGTGGAATATATTTTTATTACTAATCCATTAATTTCTATCCTGTGTACAAAAAAATTGGTTGAAAGTTGTTTTGACAGAACTTCCCTCGCCCCTGAAGTACAATGAAACATATCCAGCATTTTCGAATGGGCGCAACCTCAGAGGAGTCCGTCATCGTTTCTCTGTCATAGTGAACTATTCTACCTGCGATGGGTACCTGTCTCTGTTTAGATTAGTACCTAATAGTGACCAGTTCACTTAAGTTTATGTTTCCGTGTGTTATTGTTTGCGATTTAAAAATAATAAAATAAAAACCACCCCTTCCTGAAGTGTGCATGTTACGCTACTAATAATAACTGACAGTCCGTTGTCAGATTCTGATGATTCACCATGTTGAACTTAAAATAATCCATCTCTAACAACACTTGGTAATAGCAATCTGACGCTCAAGTGTTTATTTATATTTATCCATCGAAAGAATGTCACGTAGAAATTAGTTTGATTTGAATGAGTATGTCTTCTCAAAACACAGGACTAAAATTATTAATTAAACCACAATCGAACAAAATGTTCTGAATATTATCATTCCTATTTTATTATTATTATATAAAGACATGCGTATTCTTCACATTTTCGAGAAAATGGGGTGACTCGTTCTTAATTTGACCAATAAAAAATTGGAAGTGCTGTTCTTGATTTGACGGATAAAAAAAGTTCGAAGTGCGGGGATCCGCAACCAGAACTTCCAATTCCACCTCCAGCGAGCCACCGGTCACGTTTGCGGAGCCACGTATTAATTATATTTATCGTATGAATGATGTTTAAACAATAACAACTATAATAATAGTAATAAAACTCAAAAGAAAGGAGATTCATAAAACACAAGTGTGGGAATGTATAACATTTTATACAGTTCTTGGAGAAAATTTTGAGAGGGTGTCATCACGTTGTTGGTGGGGATAACTAGAGAGATTTTGGTTAGTGTTTTACAATCTACATGACAACTTTAAAACATGTTCAAGATTTCAAAGCATTCGGTTTTGCAGTTCTTGAATAAATCAATAAAATAAATTCATTAATTTTTTTGAGACACCCCGTATAAGCAAATCTAAAAAATATTAATGCAGTGATAAATCACAAGTATTGACTCATCATACTTTGCACATTTAAGATGGGATTTCTTCAGCAAAATTTTGAGGTGACGTCATAATTTTTTTAGGGGGGATGAGCAAATACATTTTGATCAAAAATTTACCGTGCTTATGATAACTTTAAAACTTCTCCAAAATTTTAAAGCGTTCGATTTTGTAGTTCCTGATTAAATCAATAAAATAAATTCCTGCATTCATTAATTTTTTTGAGTCACCCTGCATATGCAGATGCAAAAAATATGAATCGAATGACACATTAGAAGTACAGACTTATCATATTTTGTACAATTTAGATAGGATTTATACAGCAGAATTTTGAGCTGACGTCATCAATTTTTTGGAGGGGATAAGTAAATATATTTTGATTGAAAATTTCTCATGCTTATCATAATTTTTAAATATCTACAAGATTTCAAAACATTCGGTTTTGCAGATTCAAAATTAAATTGCAAAATGTTGTTTTATAATTTTGATTTCGAAAAATCTGGACATTTCGGATAAAAACTCAATGCGTAGGATTGCATAAACTGCATGTGTAGGATTATGTTATTTCATACAATTTAAAACCCATTTACTATGTGCAATTTTAAAGTGACGTCATCACATTGGTGGGGATGATTAGACAAATTTTGGTTACCATTTTACCATTTACATGATATTCCTAATATAAATACAAAATTTGACAACAATCGGTCCAGTACTGTCGGAGATTATCTGTCTAATAAAATTCCGGGACGGCAGACCGACAGACGGACAGACAGACGGACAGACGGACAGACAGACGGACAGACAGACGGACAGACAGATGGATAAACAGACGGACAGATAGACGGACAAACAGATAGACGGACAAACAGACAGACGGAAACGGGAGACCCATTTCTTCCTACTGTATGGGTAATGAAAGGTCGAGTAAACGTACGCTTACGCTCGGGAAGTAAAAAGAAATACTTAAACGATTACTTTAAAAAACACTTACATTAAGCAAAAGAATATTGACAGGGAATATCGTTATTATAGTTTTGTATTCCTTTGTTTATTTTTTTTTTACTTTCCGAGCGTAAGCTAAGGAAGTATTGTAATCGAGTCCATTACTACGACTAATTACTTCCATGTCTTCTTAACGTCTCTCTAGAGTACGAAACAATAGGTCCCTCGTTTCCGTGTGTCTGTCTATTGTCTACCTTCTGTTCGTGTCTGTGTTGATTTTTATTAGACCGATAATCTACTATACTACCGGACCGATTGTTGTCAAGTTTTGTCTGTACATTAGGAATATCGTGTAGATGGTAAAACGCTAACCTAAACTTGGCTAATCATCTCCATCAACAATGCGATGACGTCATTTTCAACATTTACAATAGTACTAGTTATTTAAATTAAAGTAACATACTTCTCCACTTGTCGTCTATGAAAGAGTTTTTATCCTAGGCATCCAAATTTTTGGAAAATAGAAAATTAAAATGTATCTCGAAATTTTACACTTTAACTCCGGAAAAATGTTATTTAAATTTTATAAAGTAACATAGTCCTGCATGTGTGATTAATGATTCCATCTTGAGTTATGACCCTAGTCACACAGATTTTTGTAAAAAAAAATGTGTAACAATATTTTGCAATTTGAGTGTCAAACTACAAAACCGCATGTTTTGAAATCTTGCGAACGTTTTACGGTTATCTTAGAGATAACATTACAACATTTTTGCAACGACAGGTATATCAATTTGTATAAGTGGAGTGTAATATCACTAATAATAGTATTGTATTCCTAAATTTTCGAGAACATGGAGTGAGCCGTTCCTGATTTAATCAATAAAATAAATTGACTAAAAAATATCATTACAGTGATAAGTCACAAGTATAGGCTCATCATATTTTGCACATTTTCGATAGGATCTATTCCGCAAACTTTTGAGATGACGTCATCAATTTTTTGGTGGGGATAAATAGATATATTCTTATTAAAAATTTAACATGCTTACGATAATTTTAATCCTTTCGAGCCGATTGACGCATGTATACGTTGGAAAAAAAAATTGCTAGGCTGGTTGATGTACTTTTCACTTTTTTTTATAATCAACACCCTGACTACATAAAACTACTTGTTAAATGTTTTGGGGACCTCCTGACGTATAATACCAAACCTATAGTATACCTTCAAAGTGTTCGATGAACATTCACAATTTTTTGTACTGCATGTAGTAATAATAATAATAATAATAATAATAATTTATTACAGCCCAACGAGCAAGCTCATATAAGGCAAAATAGTACATAATAACATTTGAATAATTTCACAATACACAAAAAAAAACATACAAGTTATTAGTAAGTAGACGTTCATGCTAATTGTGGTGTATAATTGTAACATAGATTTTTACACGTACAACAAGAAAAACGAAAGTTTTCAACACATACATCTAAGTGCGCAGCATTAACGTTATATAACCTAGTGTAACAAAGTTCGGTTCAACTGCTCCTTTTGGCACGCCCACACATCTGGCACCCCAGCCAGCTGTCTGTTTTCACCCGACAACACGAATGATAACCCCTGCGCCCTCTCGCGCATCCCTGCATTGCGCACCCCGCTAGTTGCCTGTTTTCATCCCGGCGACACGAACAATACTCATAACGCCCTCTAGCGCACCCACGCATCAGGCATCCCCCCAGGCAGTACCATTTACCCTCAGGCACTACCTGAATTCACCCCAAGGCAGCGCTATCGGCTAACACCCTCGCACCACTTCCGCCCGTCTACCCTATAAAGAAGCTCTTGAAATCATCTGAAATCAACAAGAAGTACATGCTAGAGTATTCTAAAGCTCGATAGCATTTTGTTCATCTCAGCATCGCCTTGCATCCTAGGGGTCTTGGTGGTCGGGAGTGAACAGCTTCTTGGACGGGTTAAGCATCCAGTGGCGCATCCAGAGGGGTCCCACCGGGTCTACAAATCGCGTTAGTCAAACATCCAGTGGCGCATCCAGAGGGGTCCCACCGGGTCGACGAATCGCGTTTGTTTAGTGTCGGTGTGCAAAGACTTTCGTGTTTTCGTGTTCAAATACTACTTTCGTGTTTTCGTGCTCAAGGACTATTTTCGCGTTTAAGGACTTTTCTTGTGTTTAAGGACTATTTTTCCTGTGTAACGACTTTTGTGTTTACGGATTATTTTGTGTGCAATAACTTGTTAATAACCCCTGAGATTGTGTATATATATTGTTATCAATAAAAGAGTTTCGGCTCACTGAACCAGCTACAGTGGCGTCCCGAACGTGAGGCTCGAATTAAGTTGTGCACATTAGAATCGTTCGCGAAGTGTTTTATCAGTTAACGAGTAACCGCGAATGCGCCCATTATCATCACACGTAGGTAAGAAAGGGTTAAGAAGAAGTCCTCGACACACCATGGCCGTCCAGTTCTCACCAGAACAATTTGAGGCATTTATGGCCAGATTACCGACAGCAGCAGCACCCGTGCTAAACGTAGCACCAACAAATCACCGACGTAGCATCACCGCGTGTCCCGCACGCTACGACGGAAGTCGCAACAGGGACAAAGTGGAAGAATTTGTCACCTCAGCCACCATATTTCGCACAGTAGAGGGGATCAGCAACGAAGACGCTTTGGAAGGTCTGCCCCTCCTACTCACGGGAACGGCCCACACCTGGTGGAAAGGTGTCAAACTACAAATTAAATCATGGGATGAAGCCATGAAACGACTTCAGGAGGCTTTCGCTCCACGGAAAGCCGCCTATAAGATCTACTTGGAGATCTTTGAAGAGAAGCAGGTCGCAAATGTGTCCACAGACCTTTTTATCACTAGGAAACGGAGTCTGCTCTCACAAATCGAGCAGCCCCTCGAAGAAGCTTGTACAGTTGGACATGGTGT